AACAAAAATTTCAGACCCTATAACCTAATCGCCCAAAAAAGTTTGAAAATAACTTCCACAAATCACGAAATTTCACAATTAATTGGACAAAACGCTACAAGATTATATATGAAAGGGAAATTTTAGGAGAGAACAATTGATAAATATACCGTTATATTAGATTAGGAAACTTACACAAATCCCACTAGTTTAGGAGCTAATCACTTAGATACACTCTAGTTTGCAATATTACGTATCTTACCAGATTTTGGTGTGACACAAATACGTTCAAATACATGTATTGGGATACATGAGGTTAAAATTGGGTGTAATTCGTTCTAGATACATTGTATCCAAGTGGATTCGCATGTATATGGAATACATAACAAATCTCCACCGCCTCCCTCGCCTCTCTCCCATCTCGCTCGCCACTCACCTATGTATCTGGTATATATCTCAGATACATATGAATCACACCAGATACGTACATATACATGTATCTAGTGTGATTTACATGTATCTGGACACGTAACAAATCTCGCTCGTCTCTCTCCCTATTTCATTATATCTGATAGTAAAAGTATATGTATTTTAAGTGTATCTTCCTCAATATATCGTAGAAAACTCTTAATTAGTGATAAGATAAGTACTATTTTTAATATATATGTAATAATAGAATATTTGATAGTGAAATGTGTAATTATGTAGTTTTTCCTATTAGATCTGCATTAACAAAGGGGATTGAGGAGTGAAAAAGAAAATATAAGAGAGAGAGAGAATACGAAATACGTATAAAAAGAATTTAGAGAGATAAAAAAGGTAAAACTACACTTAATACAGTTGAAAAAACAATAAGGAGAGAGGGAAAAAAAAGGAATAAAGAAAATATTTCTCAACGTGACTATTAAATGCTAAAATAAATATTTAAAAACCTTTTTTTACCAAAAAAAAATAGTGGGTTATTTATTGCCAATTAAATCTAAGAAACTTACATAAATATGTTATATTAAGAAAATATTTATTATTTATGACAATGTCATATATTTTTTTCACTTGGACACTTTTATAATACAATTTTAATACATATTACAGAGAATAGTTTATAAAATACATATAATGCAAATTTTATTGATGAATAACATACATTTTAATACATTTATAATATATTGTGTCAATTTTTACCAAACAAACATAACATATTTTAAGACACTTATAGCTCATCCATATTGCATGCATAATTCATTTTTAATACATAGTGCATATTTATCATAGTATTGCTATGGATGATGATAACTAAAAAATATCACTAAAATCAATAATTATTTATTAAAAAGTACTCAAGTAATCTTTCCTTATTTATCATGTTGTGCTAATTTTTCGTGAATAAATATTGAGTCCGTGCAAAGCATGTAGTCTTGCCACTAGAATATTTTAAGGAATCATTCATGTTGGTTTTAAATGTCTAACATCGTGACATCCCTTATATACCATAAAATCTCACTAAATTAATACTCCGTTAATTAATAATCTCTCAAAGATAATAATTTCCTTCGATTTCAACTTGGGCCAATGGAAAAAATCACTCATTTCAATAAGATAATTTGAAGACCCCTATATGAATATTTGGTCTCATTAATATTATAAATTAATAATTCTTTAAAAGTATAAATATATCTAAGAAAATCTAATGAAATATGGTTCTATTATGTTCTGTTTTTTGTTAAAATTTAAATGTAGTTGAAGCTCATCTCTGACTTTTCTTATTGCATCCAAAAATTTCAGTGTTGTCTTTTTGAATTGCACCATAAAATTGTGAAGAGTTCTAGAGACAAGTGTTTCCTTACGCGTAACTGATTCCAAAGGTATTGTATCATCTTCAACTTTATCATCAACATTGTTTTCCCAATAATATCCACACTTTGTTCTAAGCTCTGGACCTCTAAACATGTATCATTTTCACCCATCCACTAGGTTTTTAACGTCAATTTTATCACGGTAACCAAGATCATTAATCATGACCTCAAGTTCATGAATGACGTTTTCACAAGTGGGTTCTTTTAAATTCTTTGAGATTTCATCCCTGAACAACTTTTTGGTGTCAAAACACTCTGTAAATAAAAAATACCTTTACAAAATAATAATATTTCATGGTCCCGCCTATATTAATTTAGAGAGGTTTTACTGTACATAAAATTTGTTCAAAACCTTATTTCAATTTTTTTTTTGTAAAAGGTGCTACTCGAGGCTAAGTTTAGAGATGATAAAACTTGATAATATTTCGAAGCCGTTGAATCTAATTAATTATTATCGCATGGTACATTTTATAACAAAAATCCCAGTACGTTTGGAATAGAGTAAGATATGAGGGACAACTATGATTTCTATGATATTAATTAAAAATGAAAGAGTTTTGGGCTAAATTCATCCCTTAACTATGACTAAAGCTTATGTTACATCCTTATACTATAATAGTTAACAAGAACCATCCTTTTAGTATTTAAAATATAACAAAAGTCAGTCTTCTGTCTATTTGAGTTAAAAAACTAATATTGCTTTTTCAAAAAGTGATTTTCTCTCTCCCATATCCCTATTTTACCCCTCTCAAATCTGTCCCATCGTCTGTCTTCCATTTTCAGCAAAACCAAGAAGGAAACTCAATATTTTCTGAACTTCACAAAATAATCAAGATCAAGAACAATTTTTTCTCTTCAACTAGAGTTGAAAACAGGGCAGAGAGCGAAACACAAACAAGGTAAAGGAATAAAAATCATTGAAAAATTCTAGTTTTTCTGATTCGAAAAATATTTGCAATTTTCTATTTCTCAAACTAAAACATCTTCATTCTTAAAAACACTAGATATTGCGGGTTGCAGCATAACAACTAACTGGAACAATGTCGATTCGAAGTTTACGTGGTCGATCGTCCACACCCAACTATGGTATTATCGATATTCAAGACATTTTAAGCATTTTTTAATATAATTTGCAATGCCTTTCATATTGATTTATAAGTATTATTGATTTTGAAAAGCTATATTAAGTTTTTTATTTGATATATAAGGTTTTGTTTTCTGGATATTCATTATAATGAGCTTGTAGTTCTTTGTTGGCTTTATGTATTCAGATTTGTATTATATTTGTATAAATAACAGTTTTTACACCGTTGATAACTTGATAGTATGTGCAGATTCTATGAATGAGTCATCGTTTTTCACAATTAAAGTACATCATGGTGGATCATTTGTGCGTAGTTCGACAAGAGGCTACATAGGTGGAAAAGTCAAATATTTTGATTATGTCGACGGTACAATGATTAATCTAATAGATTTTAAGAATATGGCCGAGCAATGCGGTTATGACAAGGAATCTGTGGTATTTTGGCACAAGTATGGTTTAAACTGTTATAAGGTTCGATTAGTTGGGAGTAATATGGAAGCCGCTAAAGTTGTTACTTGCATTCCAAAGGACAGAGTAGTTGAGATATATTTTGAACATTTGAATTTTTATCATGATGATAATCAATGTGGAAATGAGATGAAAAAGAATTCTTTGCTGGCAAATGACACAGAGGCACACAGTGATGAATTTGACGATGAAGATTTTAATGATTCTGACTATTCTTTGGAGCGGGATGATCTATTATTTTAAAAAAGTGTTGATCCTTCTGTTGAATCTTTTGGGATCAA